TAATTATAAAAAAATAAATTATAAAAAGATGCAATAATTAGCATAGGTTAGGATTGGATAAGATAGGATTCAATTGGTAGAATTGGATTGGATTGGTCTAGACTAGTATATTTTGAAGTCCAATCATATGTTTGAAGTTTATTAGATTAAACATAGGATTAACTTAAAATAGTTATTTATTGACAAAAATACACTTTTATTATTCCGATACAATTTATTTATTAAAAAATGGAAAACTTACTAAAATCCTTCAAAATTTTCTTACAATTTTCTATTTCATTTTCTCTACTCCCAAACAGCTACTGACTAGTAGCTTCTTAAATACATTTTTCTTCCATTTTCTCAACCTCTCGAATATTTTCCATGTTCATCTTTACCTCTGCAAGCTAGAGTTTTCTTCCTAACTCTAATATTTTGCCTGAGAAGCAAATCGACAAATCTTAGCATGGATAAAAGAGAAAATAAATAAATATTTTTTTAGATTCAGCAGAATGTATATGAGGAGACGTCAACATCGGTGTCGATCGAATGAAATTGAAATATGAGATCCAAGTGCCTTTTGAGTGAGAAGAGAAAAAGAAAAGGAAAAAGATGATCGAAGACTAATGAAATCAGTGATGGAAGAAGAAGAAAGGGATGATAGGAGATTTACAAAGAGATCAATGACAAAATATAAAAGGTTAAATCCTCATTTTGGTCCCTAAATTATTATATGGACCCCCGATTTGATCCCTGAATTAAAGAAATCCTTGATTTGGTCCTTAAACTATTGTACGGACCCCCGATTTGGTCCCCACTGTTTATAATTTGGCCTATGTTGGTCTTTGAACTATTGTACGGACCTCCAATTTGATCTTATTATTTACAATTTAGCCTTAATTTGGTCCCTGAGTTATTATTTAACAGAAGGACCAAGTTGGGGTTAAATTGGTAAACAGTAGGTACCAAATTAGGCATCCGTACAATAGTTTAGGGACTAATTTGAGAGTCCGTACAATAGTTTATGGACCAACTCAGGGATCCGTACAATAGTTCAAGGACCAACTTAGGGATTTCTTTAGTTTAGGGACCAAATTGAGAGTCCGTACAATAGTTCAGGGACCAAAATAGGGGTTTAACCAATATAAAATAGATGACCGAAATTTACGAAGAAACGTTGGAATCAGTGTCGATGTGCAGACATCTTGTACATGAGAGCAGAAAATCAATTGGGAAAAAGATGGGGTAAAATATGAAAATTCAATCTTATCCCACCTAATCCTATGAGGAGGTGGGATACACTTTATCAAAAGAGGTCAGAATTGGATAAAATGCAGGATGATGCGTGGCCCATCCCTTCATTCCACCAAACATGGGAAATAGCAAGATATCCTGCATTGTATCCAGCAGTCCAAACGTGCTGTAACGTATAAGTTAGAAATTTTTTAATTTCAATTCTAAATTAAAAACTTTAAACAGATAGCTATTATCTCGCCAAAGTTTTGTTGGATGTTTTATTTTTTCTAAGCTAAAAAACAGTTATTCATATGAAAAATTAGTACGATTGAATTACAAACAGTGTAATGATTTGGTTCTTCCTACATTAGCCTATTTTTAGTTTGTAAAGGCTTCTGATAAAATGAAATTCCTATGCCTATGAACTCCACGCTTGGAGCAGGTGTCACCGCCTGCCTTTGTGGATGTATGATGCAAAGATATTATAGTCTAGGTTGTTTTCTCAAAATTTTTTTTGAACGATTTATATAAAAATTTATTTTTAATTAACATTTTAAAAAATATCAATTGCTATATTAAAAATTATATTTATATAAATTATGCATATCACTTTTTATATTGATTTAATACTTATAATATTTTAACTAAAGAATCTTTATTTATTCACATATATTTAACGGTGATAAATTTTATATCATCAATAAAATGATTAAACATACTAAAATAATCTAACAATTAACTGATATAATCTATATAAATAAAAATTTTAATTTAATGGTTGATTTTTAAAATATTAATTGAAAAACAAAATTTTAAACATGCCTTCAAAAAAAATTTGAGATGATAACATGTAAAGTACTTTTTTCAAATGAAATTAAAAAAATGAAAAGGAAGGAAAGCCATTATGGTGTATTCGGTTTGGGAAAAACAAAAGAAGAGAGAGAGAATTATTTGGATAAGTGAAGGAAACAAGGTAAAAAATAAGAAAAAGACCGATGTTCCCTCTAATTTTCTCAGTATCTAAATAAAAGAATTATTTTCCCCTCTCACATATCAAGTTCTTCTTCTTTTTCTTTTTTTCCTTTTTTTTTTTTTGAATGGCAACATATCAAGTTCTTCTACTTGATACACTTAGAGAAGCTTCCTACTTTTAAAGAACGCGGGGAAAATGAAATTCTAATCTGCGTCTTTCATCTGGCCAAGAAAACAGTTTTTCATTACCATAACTAAAGACATTATTGCTATTATTGGTAAGGGGATTTCTTCCGCGCTTTTTTTGAAACAGTGGGGAATCTGGGGAAGGGACATATGCCAGGGCATGCACGCACTTCTCCAGCACGCTGCATGTGCCATTTGTTGTAGATTTGGTTCAGCAACATGTACTTTCTGGGGAAGTACTGTAAAAAAATAATATATCTCAATCTCTTTTTTTTTTTTTTAATTTTTTTGAATGGTAAAAGCGATTTTATTTATATGGTTCATGGGAGGGGCTTTCCACCATGTAGGCTGGTTTATTGCTCAGTTGGGCTTTACCCAACAACCCTTGTAGTCTCTATGAGCCAACCAAGCATATTTTCTGAATGAATTTTTTTTTTATTTGAACAATGAGGAAAAGAATATATGTATATATATATATATATTAATTTAGATGTAATTACATAATATTATATGTATTTATAATGTAATTTTTGTTAATTTTTTTTAATTCTAATAAAATGCATGGTATCATATTCATGTATTTAATTAATGACATAAATATTATTAAATTTATTGTAAAATTTTCATGGTTAAAAAATCAAAACTGTTTTTTTTTACCTTATTTCTTTGTCCTTTTTCGATGAATTTATATATTTTTTATAAATAGTAATAGTTAATGGAGAAAATATTGTGTAAAATATGTATTTTTATTTTGATATTAAGAAAAATTAGGATTTCTTATTAATTAAAATATAAAGATGGATGATAAAAATGCTAAAATATTTTTATAAATTAAAATATAAAAAAATATTAAAAATATTTAAATAATTTTATAAATTATGATTACATTTTAAATATTATACATATTGGCTTCCAGTTTCCTTTCTCAATAATATAAGAAGT